TCCATAACACGCTGGTCGAAGTCTTCTCCACCCAGGTGAGTGTCCCCATTAGTAGCCACCACTTCAAAGACTCCGTTGTCAATTGTGAGGAGGGACACATCAAAGGTTCCACCACCCAGGTCGAATACGAGGATGTTCTTCTCTCCCTCTCTCTTGTCCAGTCCATAAGCAATGGCAGCAGCTGTTCTGTACAGGGAAGAGGCTGTCAGGGCTGGGGGTGCCAGCCCACAGCTCCCCTGGGCAGGACGGGTGAGGTACTCACGGCTCGTTGATGATCCGCATCACGTTGAGCCCCGCGATGGTGCCGGCGTCCTTGGTGGCCTGGCGCTGGGCATCGTTGAAGTAGGCTGGCACCGTGACAACAGCGTGGGTCACCTGAGCAGGGAGGGACAGCTTGCTTAGAGAAATGACAGGAAAAAAAGTCTGTAAGCAGTACCAGCCACTCTGAGCAGTGCTGGGAGCGAGCAGCCCATCTTTGGAGGTGAAGAGCCAGCAGCAGCTTAGCCCATCGAGCAGGGCTGCTGAAGGGGCCTGCAGCACTGACTGCAGTTTGGGATGGCCAGGTCAGTCCTGGAGCAGCCTACCCTTCTCCCATTTCCTAAAGCTGCCTATCAAAGTTGTTCCCAGTGTTTCCTGTACACTTACTTTCTTTCCCAAGTAAGCCTCTGCAGTTTCCTTCATCTTTGTCAGGACCATTGCAGAAATTTCTTCAGGAGCAAATGTTTTGGTCTGTCCACCTCCAACATCAACCTGAATATGGGGCTTAGCTTTCTTCTCAACCACCTGAGGAAAACAAAAGATACTGTCACATTCAACTATTACAACTTGTTCCCAAGGTTCTTTCTAAACATCAAGCAAAACCTCTCTGAGAGGCATAACCTGAGTGCAGCTAACAGCATGAACTGCTGTTTACACACCAATCCTCCTGGGGGGCACTAAGAGCAGACGCCTCTTCTGCCCACAACTGCAGGTTCTCCCCCTCCAGTGCACTCGGGGCCCACCTTGAAGGGCAGGTACTTGATATCCTGCTGCACCGAGGGGTCGTTCCAGGTGCGGCCGATGAGCCGCTTGGCATCGAACACGGTGTTCTCGGGGTTGGATGTGAGCTGGTTCTTGGCAGCATCTCCGATCAGGCGCTCCCCCTCGGGGGTGAAGGCCACATAGGACGGCGTGATGCGGTTCCCCTGGTCATTGGCGATGATTTCCACGCGCCCGTTCTTGAACACGCCCACGCTGGGGTTGGGGGGGGAGAGGAACGGTCAGGCGGGGCCGCGGCCTGCACACATCCCCGCAGCCCGCCTCCCGTTCCGCTCCTCCCCGCGCCCCCCGCCAGCCCGGCCTGCCCCGTACCAGGAGTAGGTGGTGCCCAGGTCGATGCCCACCACCGTGCCCACGTCCTCCTTCTTCTCCTCGTCGTCCGCCCGGACGGCGCCCAGCGCCAGCAGCGTCAGCAGCAGAAGCCTCATACCGACCGCTCACCTACCGAGAGCCCGCCGGTTACACAACGGAGGCGCCATGTGCTCGGCCGCCCCCCGCGCCGCAGCCCCCCAGCCCCCGCCGTGCGGAGTCACCCCCCGTTCCCGCCCGCTCTTTCCGTGACCCCCACCGCCATCCCCGCACCCCCGACGGGCCTACCCCGCTCAGCCCGGCCGCGCCCGGCCCTCACCGTTCAGAAGCGCCGCGCCCCAAGCGCCGCCAGGCCGCGCCGCCCGCCCTTTTATACCTTCCGTTACCTCTTCGTGGAGCCTCCCCATTGGCTGCCGCGCCCTCGCTGGAGCCTCTCCATTGGCCGGCTGCGACCAAGCTGGCCTCCCGCGATTGGCGAGCGCCGCGCGCCCGCTCCGCCGCGCCCGGCGCGCCCCCCTCGCGCCGCCCCATTGGTTGCACCCGCCGGCCGCGGCCACAGAGAAGCGTGAGCCAAGCGGAGCGTCCCCATTGGCTGGGCGGGACCACGGCCGCGGGGTGGGGGGGCACTTCTGGAAGTTTCCATGGTTACTGGCCCGGGGGGATAGCCCGGCGTGGGGGGGACACCGCCGCTCCCGGGGCACCGGGGGTACGGGCGGTACCGGGGCACTGCCGGGAGGGACGTGCGGGGAGGCTGGAGCCGGGCGGCATCACGGCCGGGGTGTGCGGGCAGAGCCCCGTCCCGCCCCGCCGGGGCTGAGTGACCCGCGTGTGCCCCGCGCCCGAGGCGGCACCGGGACCCGGCCCGGCCCGCCGCTGCCCCGCCATGTCACGACACCCAGCCCCGCACGCACAGGCCGGGGCCGGGCGGAGCCGCGGCTGACGGCGGCGCGAGGCTCCCAGAGCGGCCCCGGCCCCGCCTCGGCCCGGCCCCGCCGCCCGTCCGGGCCCGGGACTACAAGTCCCAGGAGCGCCGCCGCCGCCGCCTGCGCAGTGCCGCGCCCGCCCGGGCCGCAGCGGCAGCCGCCGGGGCGCTGGCCGGGTAGGGACGCGCTGGAATCCGCGACAGCGCTCGGCTGCCTCCCCCCGAGCAGCCGGAGGCGGAGGAGGGAGCGGTGGGAGGCGGGGGAAGGCCCGGGGCCTGACAAACCCTTTGGTTTTTCCAGGGAAGCGAGCGGGAAGGCGGGCAGCCGAGCAGACGCGGAGCCGAGCAGGGTATGTCGGGTGGGCTTATCGCGACAGAGCGCCCGGCTGGCGGGGAGCGCTGCGGGGCGGCGGCAGAAGTTGTGGTGCGGTCCGCGGGGGGCTCCGGCCGTGCCGCTCTCCCGGGCAGCCCTGCCCGGCCCGGGCACCGCGCTCCCCGTGCGGGGCACCGGGACAGCCGAGCCCTCGCAGCGGGGCCCTCGCGGCTCCGGGAGCCGCTCCTGCCGCCCCCCGTCACGGCTTTTGTGTCCTGCAGGTTTAAAACTTGAAACTGGACCAGCGCGGTGACTTCCCTTTTTGCTTACTCGCAGACCCCTGACGCTGGAGAAGCCGGTGCGGGCACTATCGGGCTTTTTTTCTTGCAAAGTCATGATACCGCGCTCCGGAGAGTGTTGGGATGGAGCTCTCGGAGCGAGCATGTGACACTACACTTACTGATAGGTGAAGTGCTATTTTGGTGGACGATGCAGTTGACTCACGAGTAGAAGCTGCAGTTTGAAGAGGATGGAGGAGAAATGGCACGGGCAGTATGTGAAATCTGAAATGCTCTGAAAAAGCAGCAGGATGGTGGCTTCAGGAAACACTTTTCAGCTGCTGCTGCTGAGGAAGGTTCCAAAAGGTTTAAGATGCTCAGCACACGGATTTTGATGTGATATTTGTCAGATAATGGATAATATGCTCTCCTCAGTAGCAGCTGCCCTTCCTGGTGGATGGGAAGGGAGCTGCTCTCAGGAGAACAGGTTGGTTTTGTCAGTTTGAGCAGCTTCAAGTTCTGCACTTGTTCTGGCTAAAAGTTTATTAGTGTGATGCTAAAGGGAACTCCACTTTCTGGCATCACAAGCAACTGGAATAGATTTTAGCCTGCTTATGTGTTCTCGTTGATTTTATGCAACATGGCAATGCCATAATAGATAATTTAGTAGCCAGCTGAACCTGTGCTTTACTGATGAGTTCTGCTGTGGGGCACGAGAAACAAGGCTCTCCTCACACGTGGATATGGACAGTATGTCCAGGGCTAGATGAGAGCAGCCTCTGGGCAGAAACAAACGTGAGGGATGAGTTTCTTATTAATGACAATTAGGCAGTGGACTTGCATTTTGTGTGTTACAGGTGTGTTGGAGCTGGTGGGTGCTGTAACCTGAGGGTTCAGCAGTGAGCCCTAGGTCATGGTGAAGCATCCTGCTGAAAAAGGGCTCTTCTAGCTCAGCTGTGGGAGATGGGCAGTTAGCTTGTGTAAAAATAAGCCTTGTGAGAGGCTACTATAAATACTAACAAGGAAAGAGGTACTTCATCAGGGCTTAATTAGCCTGGAAGCCATTCAGACTTGCTTAGGAGTTATTTTTCAGCAGGATGGAGAGATTTTGCCTTGCCCTGCCCTGCCTATGTTAGATGTGCCCAAACTTGCTCTGGAAGTTGAGTCTTGCTTAGCGAGACTCAGGAAGAGCAAGTAACCCTGAGCAGGAAACACGGGAGGAGGAAGAAGGATCTGGTGTACCAGCAGCATTTACCACTTTACTTAATCTCTCTTCTGTCACTGAATCACAGAAATATGCAGGGAGATGTGGTTTGTTCCTGCATGCCACAGGACAAAGCCACAGACACTGGCAGGTGCAGTTCAGCACCTGAAGATTCAGAGTAGTGCTCTCCAGCACTTTTAGGAGTGGGAAGCAGTCTGTGTCCTGTGTCCATCAAAGGAGAGACTGCCTTGGGTTCTGAACAAATGTGTGCTGCCAGCAGGGCAAGGCATCTCGGATGCTGTCAGGTCATGCAGGCTTTGTTGTTGATATGTGGAGCATCATGAAGGGAAATTGTCTGAGCTGTTGTGCTAAGCTGCTCTTACTGTGGCACAGTTACTTGTTGGTTCCTGAGCAGTCTTGAAATGACTGACAGAAAATGGAAATGTTTCCATATCAACGTGAAATTCCAGGATTGAAAAGTAATCTGCACATAGCACAGTCTCGCATATCTGTTGTTCCTTCAGCCACAGCAGGCTGTTGGTATCTAAATATCCTAAAGTGACTGCTTTATACAGCTGTGTACAGATACCTGCTATTCCAGGTGCTGTGCATGGCAGTCACAAACCAGATTGCTGGATAATTACAGGCACCTTTTTGCTTGTGAGCAGCTGACAGAGGAGGAATCAGCAGAGGCTCTGCTCCAGAGCTGTTCCATGGCGTGTCACTAAGTGCTGGCTGTGGCCAAATGCTGCTGAAGCTTTGGCCCAAGTGCTCTGGAGTGCACCTTGTGGAGCCTGGTCAGAGGATGCAGCTGCTGTCTTTTTGTACTGCTGTAAAGGGAAGAGGTTTTGGGGAGGAGCAGTGTGTCAGGTGGGTGTGTTAGTGGTACAATTGGTTTTTCTTTCAGGACAAGGTAATACCAGTGTCTGAAGAGAGGGATAGCGTGTGCATCTTGCCCAGCTGGGTTTTTTGGGTTTTCTTCACTGAGCCTTGCTGAAGTGCTTTGTGTGTTAAACTGCTGCTTTACATCTCTGCTGTTCTCAGGTGTCTGCCAGGGACCTCAGGTGAAGACAGAGCTGTTTGTGCTCTTGCTTGCTGTGCGTGTGTGTATTAATTACTTCAGAGTAATTAATTCAAAAAGTGGTGGAAGGCAGTGATGAGGTGTTCCTCTCCACGGAGCTGGATCTCAGCAATAATCCTTGCAGTTGAGCCACTTTGATTTTTATGGAGGTTACCCAGCTGGGGAAGCTGCTGATCCTGTTTTCTTGTACATGAGGTGCCAGCTGCTGTCATGCAGTTGTCCTGTGGAATGAGAGGAAAATCCTGTGGATTTTCACAGTTCTTGACAAAGCAGTGGCACACAGTACCTGCTGTGGCTCAGTTCTGGATCCATTCTCCTCTTGCTTTCGTCTTTTCTGGTGCTCTGCAGCAGAGGCAGATAAGACACACACGTGGGTAGTGGCCAGCTGATGGGGTGTTATCAGGTAGTCACAGGACCAGTATATTTAGCAGCACAGATGCAGCTAAGGGTGCTCTTTGGAGCCTTGTTTTGGGCCTGCAGTTCAGAGAGGCAATGAGCTGAAAAGGAGAAATCAGAACGCACAGCAGTTGGCAACTTCCCACAGCTTCTCAGGGCCTCGGTGTCTGCTCTTCGTCAGGAGGTGCCCGAGTTGTTCCTCCTTTGGGTGCTCAGCTCACCGTCCAAGCAGGGCTGAGCTTTCTGCTCTCAGTCTTTTTCAGGTGACATCACAAGTGGTACAATGCAGGAGTCTGACCCCTTTTTGCTGGGCAGGTGGATTAATGCACGTGTAGCAGGACTCTGGGCTGGGTGGGATTGCATGGGCTTTTGCAGACGGGGCTTTTGGAGCTTGCTCTGACCCATGGGCAAAGGAGGAAGGAGCAGAGCGTCTTCCTCAGAGGCTTCTTAGGGAGCTTTGCCCATTCTTGATGCTGGAAACATTTTCTCTAATAAAAAGAAGTCTGAAGAAGGCCCTAAGTGAAACTGAGAGAAATTGTTTATAAGTGTCGGGAGCACCTCAGGAGCTGTTTAATCAACTTGTCTGCTCTTAAATGAGGTTGTTACACAAAAATAGAGACTTGCTTTGAAATTTGGCAAAACAAAGGCACAGGACTGTAGGCAGAGGCACCAGGCTGTTCCTAGGGGTACTCCATGTGGGCCTCCCCTTCCTTCCCAAACTTGCTTAGGAGCAGGAGATCCACTTGGACTGACTTTCTGTCCAGGAAAGTGGAGACTGTGGGTTGACACCTGAAAGTGGAAAATACCAACTAAAGCTGTTCAGGTTTGATCAGTATGAGCAGCTCTTGAACACAGCCCTACAGTGGCAAGCTCTGAAAAGGCAGAAGGCAGCTCTGCAGCTCTTGTTTGTGTGTGTTTTTATGGATTCAACTTCTTTTTCCTGGCTGATAGCACTAGCTGACAGCCTAAAAACTGGTTACTACTGTGTTTGCAGGCAGTAGCAAGTTTACTGCTGGTTTGTTTTTTGGTTTTTTTGCAAGCTCTTAAATTCTGAGACTAAAAATAAATTTGTTGCAAGAAGTTATTATTTGTTTCACAAAGAACTTTGGCAGTAACAGCAATGTTTCTTCTTCTAATCATTTCTCTGAGACTGTCCTAGTTAAAAACATCTGAATTAGCACATCCTTCAAGTTCCTGTTGTAATCTCATTTTTGGATGCATCAGCTGTAGCCTCTGGTTAGGGTTGCTGAGTTTGGTTTGGGGTCTTTTTTGAGTTTGGAGTTTTTTTTTAAAAGAGCTTTATACCCAGTTTTCTATGTTTACTAGGAATGGCCTTTAAACCTTCAGGTGTAATAAAATTGTAAATTTTTTTATGCATAGTGACAGCTTCTCTATTCATGTCTGCCTGGCTTCTGACTGTGAGGTTAAAACTATAGATTAAAGGACTTAATTACACCAGGAGCAGTGATGGTTGTCAGTGCACCTGGTTTTCAGGCTGCAAAAACCCAACAAATGGGCAACCTGTGCCTAATTAAGGAGCTAATCTGTATTCTTCAGTGAGGATCACCTCCTGCTCTGCTGAGCGGTGAAACACAGCTCTTTAAAACACTGGCAGGGGAGAGCACTGGGCCAGCACGTGGTATGCTAGCACATTATTTGTAGTTTCTCAAGCATGGTCTAAGTGGGTTTGTGAAACAAGGCTTGTCCAGAGCCACTGCAGGTTGTGGGAAGTAAGTTTGCATATTGACTGGAGTATTGCTTTGAAGGGTTCCTCACTAGAGCCCTCTGACATCTCCATTACTGATGCACACGACAGGTACATTATAATCTGTTTCAGATGGTATCTACATCAAACCCTTGTCCTGCCCAAATGAGCTGGTGTGGCTGTTAGTTCTGGTGGGGAACATGAAGCAGTTAACCATCAATTCCATAATCTGCATGATTGTACCTCTTCCTTTGTCAATATCAATTCACTTGATGGAGCTTTCTCCTCCCAAACAATTTTCACATGGATTTTCTCCTGGAATATGTCTTGTGTGGTGCAGTACTCTACTGAGATGTTTTGTAGTTGTGAAGTTAAAACTGATATTACATTCATACAGAACAGTAGTTTGTGTAGATTTTAGCCCCTGACGTGCTATCAAAGCCTATGGTTGTTTCAGTTTTTCTCGCTATAAAACAACATTTTTGGATCATGGCCCAAAGAAATATTCTTCTGAATTGAAATATTTGAGGAATTTTTTCTGAATGAATTCTACTGTTGAGCAAAGTCTCTAAGCTTATTTCCAACTACTGCCTTATCTGGGTGTTGATACACCTCGGTTTGTGGTTTGGTGGGTTTTTTGCTTAATTAGTAATTTTGTTACTATTATTTTTTTAGCAGAAAAGAGCAGCATTGGGAGCTTGGTGCTTCTGGTGCACAGGTGAGAGAGGTAACAGGCCAGAGAGATTCCAACAGCCAGATCCTTGGGTAGTGCTGGGTTATGTGGATGGGCTTTAGGATGGAGGAGTGGTGCCTGTTCCCCAAACAGCGTGTGGGAACGGGGGCTGGTCTTCATCTCCCTGACCTGGTGTCACTGAGCTGTAGCCAGGGCCACGTGTCCCAGGTGAGGCCAGGCTCCCACCTCGTGTACCTGAGGTGTGGCAGGGCTGTGCTCCTGTTCCTGCTCACCAGGGCGAGCTGAAAATGCCATCTGCTTCTCTGCCAGTGTCCCTGAGGTGTGGCAGAAAGTGAAGTGGCGCTGGAAATCTTGCATGGACGTGCCTCGGTGCAGGGTGGGGGTTTGAGGAGGGGCACGGCAGTGTTTCCCGCCGGGCTCAGCCCGTGCCCAGCAGGGCTCCCTCCCTCTCTGCTGGGCTGATCTCCCCGTTCTGTGTGCCAGGGCGGTGGCACCATGGTGAAGCTGGACATCCACACGCTGGCCCACCACCTGAAGCAGGAGCGGCTGTACGTCAGCTCGGAGAAGCAGCTGATCCAGCGGCTCAACGCCGACGTGCTGAAGACGGCAGAGCGGCTGTACCGCACGGCCTGGATCTCCAAACAGCAGCGCATCAACCTGGACAGGCTCATCATCACCAGGTACTGCACACCCCCCCTGCCATCCCCACAGCCTGCAGCTCTGTTCTGCGGCCACAGGCTGTCAACCAGACCTGGGCTGCAGAATCTCACACCGAAACGTACTCGGTGGCCATTGAAACAACTGTTTTTGTAATACCTGTGTTTGTTTTGCTTCTGTTCATGAGCGCAAACTATCCAGAATTTGTGAATAATTTGTAGTAACTCTCTGGAAAGACTTTTTTCCTCTGTGGCAGTCTGGTTAATAGATAGATCACCCGGCATCTCTTAGCAAGTTTGTTTACTTAAGAGTTACTTAAAGTGTTGCAATGTTTTTCTTTAAAGTGCTGAAGCTTCTCCTGCTGAATGTTGCCAGCACGCAAAAATCTTGGAGGACACACAGTTTGTGGACGGGTACAAGCAGTTGGGATTCCAGGAGACTGCTTACGGAGAATTCCTGAACAGACTGAGGGAGAACCCCAGGCTTATTGCGTCCTGCCTGGTTGCTGGAGAGAAGCTCAACCAGGACAACACCCAGAGTGTCATTCACACCGTCTTCACCTCCATCTATGGCAACTGCATCATGCAGGAGGATGAGAGTTACCTGCTGCAGGTGCTCCGCTACCTGATCGAGTTTGAGCTGAAGGAAAGCGACAACCCCAGGCGGCTGCTGAGACGAGGCACCTGTGCCTTCAGCATCTTGTTCAAGCTTTTCTCTGAAGGACTCTTCTCTGCAAAACTTTTTCTTACTGCTACCTTACATGAGCCAATCATGCAGCTTCTGGTTGAAGATGAAGACCACCTGGAAACCGATGCAAACAAGTTAATTGAGAGATTCTCCCCAGTACAGCAGGAAAAGTTATTTGGAGAGAAAGGCACGGAAAAGTTCAAGCAGAGAGTCCAAGAGATGGTTGACTCCAACGAGGCCAAGCTGGTGACCCTGGTCAACAAATTCATTGGCTATCTCAAACAAAACACGTACTGCTTTCCTCACAGCCTGAGGTGGATTGTGTCGCAGATGTACAAAACACTGTCCTGTGTGGACAGGCTGGAGGTGGGCGAGGTCAGAGCCATGTGCACAGATCTTCTTCTGGCCTGCTTCATCTGCCCTGCCATCGTCAACCCCGAGCAGTACGGCATCATTTCTGATGCTCCCATCAACGAGGTGGCAAGGTTTAATCTGATGCAGGTATGATTCACAGTAAGGCACTCTTAAAAATACATAAATGGCTTTTTTCTTCCCTCTAGAACTGATGCTACTACAGTAAAAGTGAAGGTACTGTCTGTCCTACTTATAAAATGAATACTAACAAAATATTTGTGTTAATTGTTGCTGAAAAGGCAGGCTCCAAAGTTTGTCTGTTTGCTTAAAATACTGGCTTGAAAAAAATTGACAGCATGTATTCCTGTATCCCTTAGAAGAATTGAAAATATCCTTTATAACAGCTGTTTTTAAGGGTTGGAAGCTAAGGCATAAAAATGACTAGAAGATAAATTCTGGAATGTGTGAAAAAGAATGTTATGCTGTTCTTGCTGATGTTAAATACTATATGAGGTATTGCAAAAAATAATGAAATACTTCGCTGGAAACCCCTTGTTGTCTGGCAGTAATGTCCAGCGCTCTACTTGGAGCATTCCCCAGCCCTCATGACCAGTTTTTGTCATTATGCAAACACTTGGACAATTTAATATTACATGGAGGAGTCATCTGAAGGTGTTGAGCAACACTTGTCTGACTGAGGATGTTCCTCCACGTGAGGAACAAAACCTGCTTTTTACTGTTGTCTATAAAGTGGGCAGGGAGTGATCCTTACAGTGCAGTCACGCTGCTGAGTTTTGCTCAGTGTTTCTCTAAAATCCAGCAGCAATCCTCTTCTGTGTCACTGCTCACGTGCTGTAGCAGAGCAGTTGGCAGCTCTTTAAATTGAGGGATGCTTTGCAGTTGGAGATGAATAAGAGTTATGTGCTCTGAAATAAGAGTTAGCCCTCCTGCTATTTCTCCTGAGTAAAATATATGCAGCCTTTGAAAATCTCTAGGTTTAGATGACCTAGATTCAACTCTCAATTCTGACGTGTTGCAAAAACAAAACATGCTTTGTTCCTGGGAGGGGGAAGTATGGATGGTCACAGCCTACTGTGTGTGCACATTTTCTTGTTAAAGTCAATGACTGCTTTTTTTTCCCTAAAGCTTCTTGAATTTTTGTCTTCCCTGAAAGCAGGCACAAATCTCTGTCCACTCAATCAGAAGTATTCCTTGGAGTATTATGTGAAAAAGGGTTTAGAATGCAAGAGTTTTTTTGAATATTTTTTATAATCAGGTCCATCATGGTATGAAAAGCTTACTCTGTGTACTTCTTTTAATTTCAGGTTGGGAGACTTCTGCAGCAGCTGGCAATGACAGGCTCTGAGGAGGGAGATCCACGTACAAAGAGCAACCTGGCTAAATTTGACAAAGTAAGAATCCAGGCTGAAAAATCCAAGGCTTGGTTAATACGTCATCATCCTTCTGCAGCCTCCTTTCTCAGACTTTGCAAAGGACTTACTAAGTGTTTAATTTCCAAGTTACATGTAATCAAAAGCAGATTAAATCCTGCACAAAGCTGGGAAAAACAAAATCTTGAATACTAGAATTAAGGGTTGGGGATTCTTGCTTCTACTCTGACCTGATACTTCTTAAAAGGGAATATTTTTAAAAATTAAATTAAATGGCATTTTCAACTGAGCACTGTAAGTGTTCAAGGCCAGGTTGGACAGGGCTTGGCATAACCTGGTCTAGTGGAAAGTGTCCCTGCCCATGACAGGGGTTGGCACTGGATGGTGTTTAAGGTTCTTCCAACCCAAACCACACTGTGATTCTGTGAAATACTGAATTACTGTCTGTTTTTCAACTGAACCTAACAAAACACTTTGATCTGAACTTAGTATAATGTCTGTTTTAATACCAAGTAATTGCTTAGTGCCAGCAACTTCTCTTTCTTTTTTGCATCGTTTTTCTTTTTTTTATTCAGCTTTTGCTGTTAGTGTGGATCATCCGTAGCCATAGAGTAGTTTCCTTCATCAGAGCAACAGTGAAGCTGGTGGCCTTTGATGGATTGTCAAGTGTTTAAAAATCTGTTGGCATCTTTGGTAACCTTGTATCTGCCCAGGTTTGGGTAATTCTAGTTGTTACACAGTCACCACACAAAGCTACACATTTATTGTACAAGTAACATTTGCACTCAGATTTGAAAGTGATGTCGTTGCTTCTTTGTTTCATTTTCAGTCTGGGCTCAGCTGATTCTTCGGGAAGGGCCAGTTTATTGCCATTATTTTTTTTTCCTTAAATTGTAAGAGGCCACTTAAGTAACACTTCGGAATGCAGGAAAGGAATGAAGGAAATGCTAGAAGTTGCTGTACACTTTCCTTGCTTGCTCTTCAGTGACCTTAAAATATCTGCCATTTTATCCCAAGATCTCAGAAGTAGGAAGCGAAACTTAAATTATTCTGTAAGCCACTGAACTCCTGTCCTAAGCTTTGTTCCAAGCTCGGGGGATGGTGTCTGGCTCACGCTGTCTGTGTCTCTCAGAGCTGTGTTGCTGCTTTCCTGGACGTGGTGATCGACGGGCGCGCGGTCGAGACTCCCCCGATGTCGGCCGTGAACCTGCTGGAGGGGCTGAGCCGCACCGTGGTGTACATGACCTACAGCCAGCTCACTGCCCTGGTAGTGCCTGTGCTCCTGAAAGGGCCCCTGTCAGCCTGTTCCCTCCAGCTCCACCCTGCCAAAGCAGGCTGTGTGCACTGCAGCTCTCACCCAAACGATTGTCCGTGTTTAGGTTGGCTTCATGCGGAACGTGATGTCAAGCGATCAACTTAAGGAAGATCGGATGGCTTTGGAAAACTTGCTGGCAAATTTACCCCAGAACAAGCCAGGGAAAAGCAGCAGCCTTGAAATGACTCCATATAACACCCCCCAGCTTTCTCCTGCAACTACTCCAGCTAACAAAAAGAACCGACTGCCCATAGGTAAGGAGAGCGAGGGGAGCTCCCATGTGATTTCTGACACCTTGGGCAATTCTCTGCCATTTCCTCAGTCATCTTGGGCTTACTCTTCACCTACATCTTCAGTTCCTACTTTTTCTGTATAGATGGTGAAGAATTTTTCTTAAAACCAGCTAACTCCCTTAGTGTCTAATGCAAGTGTGGTGAATGACCTTCATCACTCCAGCCTGAACTGGAGAAAATTTCTGGAGTGGTTGGTAGTCGTAATGGTGGTGGTTGGCAGTGACAGTAAAGGGAAGGTTTGGAGGTGGGAAGCAGATCTGGGGGAAAATTGCTTAGGAAAGTCGCAAGAGGCATTTAATTAGTGGGATAGAATAAGTTTAACATTTTTGTTAGAGAACAAATGGACAAGAGGGTGAGCAAGCAGGAGCAGGACTTTCAGAGTATGTGCTGAGAAGAGAAGGTTTGTCCTTTCTTCATTCTTTGCCTGCTCTGATTCCAACTGTCAGTATTCTGGAATGCAATTTTTGCTTTTTCAATAGGATTTCTGGGTCTAGATTTTGAAACAGGAAGTGTGGTACTCTTCTTCAGTGTATATTTATGTGAATATGTCCACGTGGGATATTTTTGTTTAAGAGATTTGGTGTTGGTGTGTAAAAGGATGAAAATTTACAGAGGCCAATAAGTGGCAAAAAACACCCCCAAAACAAATGTGTCCCATGTTGGTTTAACTCTGCATTTGAATGGTTCTGGTCTTGCAACTCTAAAGTGGTGGCACTTTACAGCATTTTATGGTATAAAATAGCTTTTGCTCAAAGTTTTTGTTTCTTTTGTTTCATTTTAATGCTTTCGAACTCCAGGACAGCAGTTGGCAGCGATTACTGCCTGGGATACCTCTGCTACCAATCTGTCAGCTCACATAACTCTAGTAACCCCTTTTGGTGGGTAATGCCCTCTTTCCATTCTTCTGTGAAACTTTGACTCATGTCACATAACTCAGCATGCCTTTGGGCCACCTGGCAGTCAGTTCCCTTGGCAGATTTCTGCAGTGTATGAACTCATTTTGTGTACACATGGGATTTAAAAACCCCTCTGTGAGATAATCAGAGTTTGGCTGCCACTTCTGCACACTTGCCTTGTTTTCTTGGGTCAAATAAAGTAGCAATTGGTGTCATCCTGCCATTCTTAGAAACCTTCATTTCATGTGGGTGTTTTTACTTCCATGGAGCCACATTTGGGAATCTGAGGCCAGTTGAAAAAGGGACATAAGAGTGCCAAAGTAATCAGAGTAAACCACCTGATGTTGTATTGTGTGTCTGGTTTGAAACACCTGTTAGAATAAGATTTCCTACTTCTTAGGAGAAAAGCCTTTTAAACAAATTAATTAGAGTTTTAAACCACAGAAACCTAGACCTTTTTTTAGTAACAAACTTAATTTTCTCACATGATGTATAAAAGGTCTTTCTGTGATTGGAATAGGCTGAATTGCTGTAGGCAAACAGGTCACAGTGTACTTTGTTTTATGCTTCTCAACTTCTATGTAGAAAGTCTCCTTTTCCACAGGGCAATACTCAAGTTTAAACACCAGTTCCATCTCTCAAAAGTTTAATAAGACTTTGATTTTGAAAATTTACTTAGTGTGTATTGCTAGTTAAGACACTACAGTACTGTGTTTCCATTGTATTGTCTTTTTTTTTCCTCCTTAAACAAGGAGAAAAAGGTTTCTAATGTGGATATTTTGAAATATTTTCTTAGCCACTCGAAGCAGAAGTAGATCAAACATGCTAATGGACCAGCACGGAGATCATGAAGGATCCTCCCAGGAGACTATTCCAGAAGTTCAGCCAGAAGAAGTGCTGGTGATTTCTTTGGGGACAGGTCCACAGATTACTCCAGGAATGATGTCAGAAAATGAGGTATCCAGAAATGATGACCTCTCAGATGTTTTGAACCATGCAGCCTCTGTCTTCTCCAATAGCACAGCAGTGAGGATGCAGAGCTGGAATGGGAATTAAAATCCTTACTCTGTGTTACTGAGCTTGGAGGTTGTAGCTTTCAAACTGGCCTTTGTTGGGTGGGTTTGTTCCCTCACTTAAGAAGCTTAAGAGCAAACCTGAGCTCTTGTTTCTGAGCATTAAGAAACTGCTGTGTCTCTGCATGCCCTGTCCTTTGGATGCAGGGACACAGGTGAATGGCAGAACTGGAGCACTGATCCTGACACTTTTGGCAGCTCAGGAAAGGCACAGGCCCAGGTTCTTGTGCGGGCAGAGCTGAGCTCACAGTGCCAGCAGTGCCTGCAGACTGTTCCTGGGGCAGGGCTGGTGTTCCAGCCTTTTCTTTCTCCAGCTGTAGCACAGCTACTGCTTCCAGCTTTGCTCCCTGCCTGGTACTTGGGATTATCTCCTCTGGCAGCCTGGTGCAGATCCTTTCCATCCTGCTCTGCTCTGGGGCGTGGCTCCCTTGTTATCAGGACATTCCTGATGTCCATGGGGTGGTTCCTTGCTTTCTCCCCAGGCTCCGACTTGGGAAGTTGCTGTCCTTTCTGTAACAGAATATTAGAAATTTGATTGTTCCATTAACAATGCAAAACATGTCTCCAGTGTTTTATTTGCTGTTTAATTCTCTAAAAAACCAGGTGATTTTAATGAAGTCTTGTTTCTTTCTCCCACCCTCCAGGTGTTAAATATGCAGCTTGCAGATGGCGGGCAAGGAGATGTCCCCATCGACGAGAACAAACTCCATGGTAAACCTGATAAAACCTTGCGCTTTTCCCTCTGCAGTGATAATCTGGAAGGAATATCTGAAGGTGAAGGGCTGCTTAAGTCTTAAAGAAGTTGTGTTGCTCTGTTGGTTTTTTCCCCCCTTAACTGTAAAAGGAAGGTGTGCTAAATACAGCATCTTGACTTTGCTGTTTTGAAGACTGTGCTGTTTCACTCTGAGAGCCTGTCTTCTTTCTTAGTTGTTCAGAGAATAAAGCCTGGAGCTAAATTTTGACCTACAAAGGCATAACTGAATCTGAGAGTTAGGAAAAAAAAAGACTAAGTGTGTATAGAAAGATAAAATAGAGACATTTTTTGTGGTTTTTTTTTTTTTTAAACTTAAGTGCGGTACTAGTACTAGTTATTAAGATAATCTAACATAAGTCTGAACGTGAACTTCTCAGACTTGTTTTTCATCCTGTTCTAACTAGTTTCAGAATAGTCAGAATAGTTTCTGTACAACTCCTTTATATGAACCTCAGGCATAACAAAACACAGATGTCTGTGGGATGGAAGAGGTTCGGACACATAAATTTTGCATTATTTTGTATAACTTCCATAACTTCATTTTTGCTTTCTGTCTTCTCAAAATAAGAAAACAAAAGAAACAAATGAACAAGGAAATAAATTAAAGACAAAGACTTTATTGGCTTTTAAGTTGCAGCTAAGTACAGTAGCAGTGAGATTTCAATAGTTTGTATTGGAACTGCTACTTCATTTGTTGTAATTTTTCTAGTGAGTTTTTGTGTCCTGAGTTGTTAATGCTGTGTCTTTAGGAACTGTTATTCAAATGAGTTTTAAAGTAGAATGTGTTTTTGCAGGCCCTTCCAATCGCTCCAACTCGGTGTCCTCCCTGGATCTGGAGGGGGAGTCGGTGTCGGAGCTGGGCGCGGGCCCCTCCGGCAGCAACGGCGTTGAGGCTCTGCAGCTGCTGGAGCACGAGCAAGGCAGGTGCCACTTCTCTCACAAGTGCCTGAGCTGCTGGAGATGCTAAAGCCAAAGTCTTTGTGGGAAGAGGTTGCAAATTTGATGAATTCAAGGAAAAAAAAAAAGTAGATGCTTTCCTTGTGCAATCGCTCTTGTATTTAATGGTGGTTTTGGTTTGGTCTGGTGTTTTTTCCCCCCCAAGAAATATTCTTTGTAGTCTGTTGTTAGGAAAAGGAAATCGCCTGGAATTTGAGACTTAAGTCCTTTATAGGAAACTGTTAGGTTTGCTTGATATCAAGCTCTTCCCTTCAGGAATAGAGTGGTCTGGATTGGAGTAGTCTGGAAGTATCTGGACAATTTTCTGTTTAATGTCTGTTTGTCAAACACTGAACAGGTTGCTCGGAGGTTGTGGTGTCTCCAGCCTAGAGATGCACAAAATATGACTGGACACGATCATGAGCAACCTGGTGTCCTTCACCAGGGCAGGGAGTTTGGGCTGGAATGATCCCTGGAGGCCTCGGGTTTTCTGTGATCCTGTTCCTTTACAGGAATTGTATCAGTGTCTTTGTAGCACTACCTTTCATTTATTTTTTCTGTCAATTTAGTTGATACATTATCATGTGTACTTCCAGATTTTTCTTCTTATGTCTCAAATGTTTTTTCAGGCAGCATTTCCTGAATAGTGTAATGGTGTTTTACAGGCCTTCCTTTAAACCACTGCTTTTCCTAACAGAATTAGGGGCCTGTTTGTTTGGGATTTTTTTCCTAATGTACTCTTACAGGCTTTCAATCTGAAATAATTGGAGAAGCCTTCCAGAAAATCAAGAACTGTTTATTTTTCCACAGCCACAACTCAGGATAACCTGGATGACAAGCTCCGCAAGTTTGAAATCCGTGACATGATGGGTTTGACTGATGACAGAGACATTTCAGAAACTGTGAGTGAAACCTGGAGCACAGATGTCTTGGGAAGCGACTTCGACCCCAACATCGACGAGGACCGGCTGCAGGAAATCGCAGGTAATGGGTGTGCTCTGGGTAGGTCCTGTGCTGCTCTGGAGCCTGAGGCTGCAGAGCCCTCCTCCTCCTCCTCCTCCTCCTCCCTTCCTCAACAGGGGCATTTCCACAGATTCAACTGGAGATTTGCTCTAGGAGGATTTTTGTGTGCATGAGCTGGACTGTACTTAGTTACTAGTTTCTTTTCAACCTGTGTTTCCTGATTGCTTTATCAAGGACACTTCAGATGTGTTCTGACTTTTCTCTCTAGAGCTGACTCCCCAAGCCCAGCTCTAGCCATACGCTCCGGCTTTACTTTTGCAGGTGCAGCTGCAGAGAACATGCTAGGCAGCTTGCTGTGTTTGCCAGGTTCAGGATCCGTGTTGCTTGATCCCTGCACAGGTTCAACCATATCAGAAACCACAAGTGAGGCGTGGAGTGTGGAAGTATTACCAAGTGATTCAGGTCAGAATCGGGCAGTTTTTGCGTATTTCTTTAGCATGATTCTAAGACTCTTCCAGAGGCATAGAATGCAAAACACAGCCTCTTCCTCTTCCTCTTTCTTCAAGAAATTACTGTCCTAGGCTTAAGTTAGTTTTTGCAAATGATTCCAGGATTAAAAGGACAAAATGCTCCTAGGCAGAAAGAAGATGGAAAGCGTTGGGAGACACTTCTGTTACTTAAGAAATTCTTAAGGTCTGAAGGGGAAGAGAAGGGTTTTCAAAGCAAACTTGTGTTTGTGTTCCATCCCGGTGGTAGGAGCTATCCAGGACCACAGTTTACTTGGGTTTGTGAAGATGTGACTGTATCCTGTTGTCTAAGACATACAACAATTAAAACAGTAAACACTCCTGTGCAGACAGAGCATTGCTGTCTGTGCAGAGTCCTGCCTTCTGTACCAAAGGATATAAGAAAACTCTTGCTGAAGTGGTTGAGTTCCCTTAAAACTTGATACACTAAATCACCCCCCACCCCTTCCTTCTGCTTGTGAATGTTTAGGGAGCATGGCATTGAGTAATGATACTTTCTCTCTCTACTGTCCATTGTCTCCCTTTCGTAGAAGCTCCAGATTTAAAGCAGGAGGAAAGACTCCAGGAGCTGGAGAGCTGCTCTGGGCTGGGTAGCACGTCTGATGACACAGATGTGAGGGAGGTCAGCTCTCGGCCCAGCACCCCCGGCCTCAGCGTTGTGTCAGGTGTGTGCAACTGTCTGCCAGTGCTGCTCCATCACAGCATGGCCAGCACTCCCTTTGCTGCACATGCTTTATTTGTACATCACTCCACTCATACAACCATTTCCTGCCCTCATTCTGTGATTCAAAGAATCACAAAGCTGTGACTCTTTGTTCACCTCACAGAAGAAATAAAAAAGGCAGCAGAGAGGTGGATGTCCTGTGCTGCAATAGCAGTGGTTAGCAGAGGAGTGTTGCTTTGGAAGAAACTCCAAACTTTCTTGCATTTAAAATAACTTGTTTTATTTAAATAAATCATAGCTCTAGTTCTTCATTTTCTGCAAAGTGTGTAAAGGTGGAGTGTCTTTTTAATGCCTCTTGTCAGAGTGTATTCATGGCTGTGGTAACTCTTGAAGATATAGAGCAAAAATAAATCGTGATTTTATGAGTATAGAAATTTGTAGTGTCTGTAGGTTCTACTGTGAGTTGGAACTTGATTATCACTGTCCACCAAACATTTTAACTGCCTCAGGATTTTGCTTCCTTGATCTTTGAAAGGCTATTACAGATGCTTTTTTTGTTATGTGTAAGGTATTAGTGCAACATCTGAAGATATTCCTAACAAGATTGAGGATCTCAGGTCTGAATGTAGCTCTGACTTCGGGGGAAAAGATTCTGTAACAAGTCCTGACATGGATGAAACAGCCCATGGTAAGTTACTTATCTGGAATCTCTGATAAAAACAAGTGACATTTATGAAATCCTTAAATTTTACAATTTCTCACCAGTTTCAAAGTGCTAGTGACTAAGCTTAATATTTTCCTTATTTGCCAGTACTGTATTTGTTTGGCAAAGAGGCTCCAGTGCTTTGCAGTACTAGAGCTTGAGTACTAGATCTAAGATCCCTAATTCAGTTTGATTACATTGACTGTCCTCTTGTGTTTTGGAACTTGGCTGCTCCTCAAAAACTCCCCATTTTTTGTGATGTAACTCTTTGATCATATCAAGGTACTATAGAGATCTTTCCACACAGGAATATTTTTACAAATTCTTTGCAGTATAAGTTTTGTAAACTTCTGTTGCTGAAGTCTGTTTTTCCAGTGTCTCTCATGTCGGAGGCAGTTTTGGTACAGCTCTAACTTTGTTCTTTCTCTGTTTCAGGAGCCAGTCAATTGACATCTCCTCCTTCTCAGACAGATTCTTTGCTTGCATTGTTTGACCCTCTGTCCTCAAATGAGGGTGAGTTATAAAGATTAAGCTTTGTTTTAAAAATAGGCATTTTCAATGCTTCTATGATAATACCAGGTAATCGGGTAGTTTGGAATAAAAAAAAAGAAATGTGTGTGACTTCTTTTCTGCTTGTGACCACAGGTGTATCAACTGTAGTGAGGCCTAAAGTGCACTATGCAAGACCCTCTCACCCACCTCCAGATCCACCCATCCTGGAAGGAGCCGTGGGAGGCAACGAGGCCCGGCTGCCCAACTTCGGGTGCCACGCTTTGATCCCGACGGACCTGGAAGCCTTCAAGCAGAGACATTCCTACCCGGAGAGGCTGGTCCGCAGCAGGAGCTCCGACATCGTGTCCTCGGTGCGGAGGCCCATGAGCGATCCTGGCTGGAACAGACGTGCTGGCAACGAGGACAGGGAGCTGCCCATGGCCTCCAGCAGCGCCGGGGCAGCGGTGCTGGCGGCCGCCTCTCAGTCGTCATCTTCATCTCCCAGCAAGGACTCCTCCAGGGGAGAGGTGAGGCTTCTATGCATCACTTTATTTTTGTCTCCCATGCCCACTTTAACAACACCTCTAATGCCAGAGAGCTGGAATTAGATGTCTTCAGCTAAGGAATTACAACACACTTGTTATCCTTCAAACACTGTCCGGTAATGTTTTATAAGATAAAGGTGCAGAGGTTCAGCATGGCTTAAATGGATATGGCTTTTCTTAAATTTACTGGATAAGGTTTACTGGTGGTACTTCAGAAACAGATTCATTGTAGTGTTAAATTGCTGCAGCAGCCTGAAAATTAATTTTCTTTAAAAAATATATAAGTGAAATCTAGGATTCTTTGTGGCTAAGGGTTTGCATTTGCGTGATGTCTTCTTTAGGTGAGATATTTCTGACTTAATGTGCTCTTTGTGCTCTGCTGTAGTTCTGTTTTTCCAGTCCGTGTAGCAAAATCTGATGTGAAGGAGAAATTTTCTCTTTACACTTGGTTTGGTAAATGCTCAGATGTAGCTCTGCCCTTCTGCAGATTGAGGATCGGAAGGACAGTGATGATGAGAAGTCTGACAGGAACAAGCCCTGGTGGAGGAAACGCTTTGCATCTGCCATGCCCAAAGGTAGGCTCATGTCTCTCTGGGTTTGGTACTTCAGTCAGAGTTCACACTGCCTCTTTAGTCACCATTATGGTTAAAGTATAAATAAATATGTAAATAAAAATAGGAAGCTACCTGACTCTCTTGGCTAGTAGGTCCCTAGAGTGTGCTGGACCTGACCTCATGTCTGTTAAAGGTGGAACTGGCTATAGGTGATGACTGTACAGTTCTGCCCAACCCCATGGATAAGCTGATGCTTTTATGGAAATTGATGATTTAATGAAAATTTTCTGCATTAGCTCCTTCCTTAAAGTTTCTGTTATTTGGCCATTATCTCGGAGTAGTCTTTGATGAGGTACCTTGCATTTTCAGCTCCTATTCCATTTAGGAAGAAAGAAAAACAAGAAAAAGACAAAGATGACATGGTGCCTGACAGATATGCAACACTTCAAGGTATGTGAATAACATCATCATAGTAATTTTCTCTCAGAGTGTGCCTCCTGGAGCTCCAGAGTGCCCACCAGGTAGCTATTGACAGACAGGTACAGGCTGTTGTAGTTCGTGTTCAGAACTGACATTTTGAATAAGAAAATGGATAAAGATTTCCTGACTTGAAGGCTGTTTTTAAGTTGTCACATGTCTGTCTGTGCATGTAGTGGATTCTCAGCTCAAGTCCTCGCTTTTCCCCTGCCCTCATTATAGAGCTCCTGTCCTTGTCACAGCTGAGCTGTAAGGATAGCTGTACACACAGTCCTGTAATAGTTACTTAAGTGTTAAATTAAACATGGCTTGAGCCTGGGTGTTTTGTTTTCTGTTTGCCTGATCCTTTCTTGAAGTCTTCAAATACCCAAGAACCATTTGTGTATGCAGTATAAATGTGCTGAGGATCTGCTCAGGATCTGGCTTCATTTGTTCACTTTGATTGTACTGTTTGTTTTCTGATTTGCTTCAGACTTTATTAATGCATTTGAATTTGGGCTGCATTGGACACAAGCACCTCTTTGTTTGATCTGGCTAAAAACAGAGTCCAAATGTGTAGGCTTAAGTTTTTGTATTTGCTTTCAGATGGCCCAACACCAGGGTAACTCCTGTTGTTTTTTATGGTCCTTTCAGATGATCCCAGCCCAAGGCTCAGTGCACAGGCACAAGCTGCTGAGGACATTCTGGACAAATACAGGAATGCAATCAAGAGAACGAGTCCCAGTGAAGGAGCCATCGTGAACTACGACAGTGCAGGTGAGAACCTGGCTTTTGTAATCACCACCTACATAGTTTCTGCTCCTTAAAGATAAAAACACTTGGGTATTCTAGACCAGTGTGAACTCTAACAAGGAATGTTTTGTCAAATAATCTGTGGGACAGGCCCTCAGAGGTTGGGAATTAAATCAGTATTCCCAAGGACAACTCTTTCATATTGCCATTGAGGGAGCTGGCTGTCGATAGCACATCTCCTACCAGTTTTTTGTTTTCTTCTAAATGGCACTGAAGAAGTGCCTTCTAGAACTTTTGCAATTTCTTCTTAGGAGCTTCTAGGTTATATGCTTTAATGTGCATTTTTTCATATATCCAGAACAAGCTGATTTATTTGCTGTCTCCATTCTCTCCCTGACCTTAGAATAACAAGCAGAAAATTAATCTGGTTTCTTCTTCTGATTCCTCTCTTGAGGTGTGATGTGTTTTTTGTTTCCAGAGGCAATTGGGGATGGTGAGAGCATGCACGACTCCCCACGGGATGAGGCTTTGCAGAACATGTCTGCAGACGACCTCCCAGACTCTGCAAGTCAAGTAGCACAGCCACAAGGTTCTGCTTTCTCCTATAGGTAAATGCATTTTCAGGTTTCATCTTACCCACAAAGTAGAATTAAAAGCTGTGGGACTGGTTCCCACAAGAATCTTAATATAGACTCACTGTAAACTTTTATGTGCTTTTAGTTTTAAGCACCTCAAACTGTCATATTTCGACTGAGGAGGGAGGGTGTTGCAACCAGAGAGGACAGAACAATTCAGTGTTTAAGAAAATGCCTTTGAAAGTCATGTTGTATCAAAGAACTGATACTCTAAAGTCTTGATAATGTTGTATATTAAAATGATGTTAAATAACTTCAAGGCAGTATTAAATAAAAAAGGAAGTAAAGATTTCTTATTGAAGAAGCAGACCTCTCATCAACTGTGTTAAGAAAATATTTTTCCTCTTTAAGGGATGCAAAGAAGAAACTGAGATTGGCTCTTTGTTCAGCAGATTCTGTTGCCCTCCCGATGCTGACCCATTCAACAAGGAATGGTCTCCCAGACCACACAGACCCTGAAGGTACAGGCTCTTTTCACTGTGTGTGTCTCTGCTTGTCCCCATGTAATGGCACTTGTACTGCAGCATTTATGGTCCCTTCTCTTTGCCATAAATATTGAGGGCACAGGCTGCCTTTTGCCCCCAGAATGTTTTCATTCTTACTCCACAAACTGCCATCTCAGCCTGCTCTAAGATTTTTTTTTTTTGTAATGAAGTATCACAGATACAGTGCAGGTAGAGCCTGGAGCTATAGAACAGACTCTGAAAATATATGTGCTGTTGGGAGTTGTGCCACTTGAATGATTTACTGGGTCTTTATGTTGACTTAGTATAAATGTGTTGTGTTGTATCCTTTCATTCACTCTGGGTTTATTTGCAGACAGGTGAATATGTCACCTTATGTGGTCCTCTTCACATTTCAGAATGGTTCTAAATACTAGATAAGATACTGATGTGGAAGCTTATCCTCTGATAGCTGGAAAATTCAAAAAGGCTTATTAAATTGTTCTAAAATAACATTTATTCCCTAATGTACAGAAGTTTTGCTTTAAACCATGAATGTGTTTCCCATATTCAAAGGTAGTTTATTTTCATCGTGCCTACGTTTCTTTTCCTTAATATTTTTCCTTTGTTCTTTTTAGATAATGAAATCGTGTGCTTCTTGAAAGTTCAGCTGGCTGAAGCCATCAACCTGCAGGACAAGAACCTGATGGCGCAGCTGCAGGAGACGATGCGCTGCGTGAGCCGCTTCGACAACCGCACCTGCCGCAAGCTGCTGGCCTCCATCGCGGAGGACTACAGGTACCCTGCCAGGGCTCCCAGATTCGTGTCCTTGTTCACCAGCACATTGGGAACATCCCTTTTGGTTTAAATTGGACTTTAGCAAACCAGGTTATTGCATCTCAGCTTCTCCCACAAAAGGATGCAATTGTCTCACCCATGTGAGCAAACTTCCGAATTCAGGCGTTGTTTAGTTTTAAAAGCAACAAGTGGAAGAATCCTTTGCACCATTGCTCAGCAGTTTGTAAAGCTGTTAACCTCTGTCTTTATTGGGATCTGATGCAGAGCTCTTTGCTTTAGGAAAAGAGCTCCATATATTGCTTATTTAACGCGCTGTCGCCAAGGCCTGCAGACGACACAGGCGCACCTGGAGAGGCTCTTGCAGAGAGTCCTGCGAGATAAAGAAGTGGCCAACAGATACTTCACCACAGTCTGTGTGAGGCTACTGCTGGAGAGCAAGGAAAAGAAAATAAGGGAGTTCATTCAAGGTAAGATCAGTGCAGACCAAAGTTTTTATGTTCTTTTATTCTGTATTTAGATGCTGACTTGGGTTAATGTTTTAAAATACGTCTTTTGATCTGAGGAGTAGATTCCTAAAATGATTTTAATTTCAGATGGTGAATTAATGTCTGAACAGACAGAGTACTGTGACTTTACAATATGTTGTGGCAGCTAAGCTATGGTAATTGTCTGCATTTTTCATGGGCTGAGGGAATGAAGGTAATTTGACTTTACTTGGCCGAAAAAGTTATGCTAAATCACATTATCTGCCCCATGGCAGAAGCATGAATGCTATTAATTATTTTATATCTACTGATACATGTTACATTAAGTTGCAGCATTCAGTTCTTAGTCCAGAACTTATGGCTGTACCTTAGAAGATATAGGGGATAGTTGAATCAGTTGAATCCATGATTCAAAAATATCACAGTATAAGAGACAGTGGCACCAGGAAACTCAAAACAGCCCCTTATACCAAACTGGTTCTATGTTCTCTGTGCACATCTCTGACGAAATGAAGCACATAAGGAATTTGGAGTCAGCTCTTGTTCCTGGAGCATATAGTGCTGCACATTAAATGTGCCTGAGAGACCTATCAGAAATAATATTTTTTCACTTAAGAGAGTGTTCTTTCTCTTCTTCCTTTTTATCAGATTTCCAGAAACTGACGGCAGCAGATGATAAGACGGCGCAAGTGGAGGATTTTCTGCAGTTCCTGTACGGGGCCATGGCTCAGGATGCCATCTGGCAGAATGCCAGCGAGGAGCAGCTCCAGGATGCACAATTAGCCATCGAGCGCAGTGTGATGAATCGCATTTTCAAACTGGCCTTCTACCCCAATCAGGATGGAGACATTCTGCGTGACCAGTAAGTTAATGGAATGCAAAGGACTTGTTTTCACTTTTGCAGTTGGTGCAGCCCTCCTGCCACAGACTTGTCTGTGTCAGCCACACAAATTCATGTTTTCCTTCAGAACATTTTGTAAAAGAACGAGGAAGGGCTTTAGCATCACGTGCAAATAAATGTGTTTGCAACTAACTGCTAGAACAGAAAAAAGAAAAAGTTGTAAGTGTGATAATTTGGGGTACAGACTGCCAGGTCTTCAAGTGTGTGTGCTGAGAGAATGATCAAAACCTGGTTCAGGACTGGACCTGGTCCATTTTCTGGATTCACTCAGTATTTTACATGAATTTGGGGATCCTTTGGTTTAGAACAGATGCTGTTGGGATGCTCTAGAGGATGTGTGGTTGTTCTTGGCTGCACAGAACAATCCTCTGCATCTTCACTGACCTGGTGTCCATCATCTGTAGGGCCACATTCCTGAAGGTCTTTCTTGTCCTTCAAACATGAAGCAAGTTTCCTCAGCTGGCTGGCTGCTGCTTACTTTTCACTCTTGTTTTTTGTGTTTCAGGGTCCTTCACGAGCACATACAGAGGTTGTCCAAAGTAGTGACTGCAAACCACAAGGCACTTCAGATACCTGAGGTAACAACTCTTTTCCTTTCCTTCTGTATGTGTGTTGGGGTTTGGACCGGGATTGGGATGAGGAGAGGATTGTTCTGTTTTACACCTAGAAGGGTTGCTTTGCTGCCTGTGACAGCTGAAATATCCTTCAGCAAAAATACACTGTACCCATGCTGTGGCTGTACCCAACTGCAGCTTCTCTGGGCAGCCTGTGCCAGGGCCTCACCATCCTCACAGGGAAAATTCCGTCCATATGTGTAACTTAAATCTCCCCTCTTTCAGTTTGAATTCCCCTTGCCTTAAAGCTTCCCATTTCTCCAAAACCTGTGAGGCTCAGGTCCCTGAGCTCCTCTGCTCCCCAGCAGCAGGGCCAAAAGGAGGGGCTGGTTTTTCCCCAGGTGTATCTCCGGGAGGCGCCCTGGCCCTCGGCGCAGTCCGAGATCCGCACCATCAGCGCTTACAAAACCCCCCGGGACAAGGTGCAGTGTATCCTGAGGATGTGCTCCACCATCATGAACCTGCTCAGTCTGGCCAACGAGGATTCCGTACCTGGGGCAGATGATTTTATTCCTGTTCTGGTCTTTGTTCTCATAAAGGTGAGTTCTTTTGCAGAGATCACAAACCCCAGTTAATTCCTGTAATAAGCAGGCAAATTTAGGAGGAGAGATAATGCCTGTGGGTCATGGGGAGCTGGCCAGGCTCAAACCCAGATCTGATTCAGCAGGGTTTGAGTAGGAATGTCAGGAATGTCAGAGTTATGGTTTTTGAATGCAAGCAAACTTTGCACTTGGAACCAAGAAAATTGGGGTGCAAATGCTGTGTGTGGAGTAGAGTTTGTCTGAGGTATGTCCACCAGCATCTGTCATCCGTGCCTGCTTTGTGCTGTTCCCAGGACCAAGATCCAGACCAGGACTGACTTAGGTTGTGTTGCTGGTCTTTTTTGACGTGAGTGGAGAATGGTCTGACGTGTAAGATGCTGAAACAGCAGGCTTTACATGTGTTGAGGTCCTGATGAGCTTCACAGATTGTGGCAGCATTCCCCTTCTTTCTCTTGGCCTTTTAGTCATTTTTTCTTGTTGGAAAAATGTTCCTTTCATCAAACCTGATGCCTTCTGAGCGAGTGAAGTGGGGCTGGAGAGGATAAACAGTCCCTGCCCTGCAGGGATGATCCTCATCCTGCCCCCGTAGGATGAGGATCACTGCACAAAGGGAATTGTGTTTCTGTTCTGTATCAGGCGGTGTTTGTTGATGCTGGGCTTTGCAAACAAGCTGTATCTCTCTTCTCCCACCCCAGGCAAACCCCCCTTGCCTGCTGTCCACTGTGCAGTACATCAGCAGTTTCTATGCCAACTGCTTGTCTGGAGAGGAGTCGTACTGGTGGATGCAGTTCACGGCAGCCGTGGAGTTCATCAAAACCATCGATGATCGCAAGTAGCTCGCACAGCACGGGCAGGCTGAGCAGGAGAGGAGTTTGAGAATGTACAACAGCTGCAAAAGCTGCAGAAAAGACTTTCCTTGTAAAATACTGTACAGAATTGAGGCATTTTAAAACACACCTTTACTAATCTAATTAATTTAACAGATTTTCCTCTTCTCTTTGGGTTGCGTTTTTCTCCCCTCTAGATACTGGCACTGCAAAAGGGACCACAGTTTTCAGGTATTTTGGAATCTCAAACATTCAGAAAATTCTTCATGCTTTCTCCACCACCCCTCTTCCTGAATTCTTATTCACATGAATAGTTCACTTAATTTAATTTCTAACAGAAAACTGAAACGAGGAAACAGGGCAGCCACGTAGTAAACTTTCTAGTTGAGTACACCTTTTATTAAGAAAACACCAGCCACACTGAAAGTTTGTAGTAGCTGACATCAGTTATTGGTTGTATTTCACCTAAATTTAAAATCTGAGAGGACAGTGTAAATATTATATAACTATATTTAATGCATTGCAAGTATCTTTGGACTTACTATCCTTTGAATAAACAAGCAGAAGCCTCTCTTACCTCTAACAGGTTGTGACCTACCATGTTTTGGTGACAAAAGGACTTCCTCAAAAGGCTAAGATTTAAAAAGGGCAAACTGAACTATTTATTAAGATGTAATTACAGAAATTTCTAAAACTGGAATTTATAATAGTGCTTATTAGCTAGCTGAACACTTCTTGGCTAGGGCATTAGGGTGTTACAGAGGTTTGGGTATGTAGAGAGGGACTGTAAGTTGCAATAGAAAAGTCTAATATAAAAAGGAGAAATAAAATACCTTACTGTAATATTTTTTCTGAGCTATTGTGTATACTGTACAAACCCCAAACAGAGATCCTTAACAGAACCTTGGGCTGTAATATATATTTTGATTAGTGACATTAAATACATATGCCAGGGGGTTCAGTGAATGTTTTTACTAAATGTTCTTTGTGTTGTCTGCTATGCAGCAGTGCAAGTTTTACTGTTCATAAAAAATATTTTAAAATAATATAACACTGTTCTTTATGAAACATATCATGACATCAGTTCAGGGTGTTTTATAGATTTCTCACCCCGCCTTCCCCTTAAACTGACAGTTATCAATTTAAAGAGGTTTTTATGCACAACCCCACATGGATTTTTCATGAGTGAAGTGCTCTGGGGCATGGCCAGTGGGTGTTGGCTGTATATAAGCACTCGCTGCTCTTTTTCAGCTTCAATACAGTGAAAAAGGACAGCGAGCACTGAACTTTTTCATGTCAGTATTATTTCTTGCTCTTTCCAGAGTGTTCATTGCACTTCTGACAGAGGGATGTGGTAAGACTTGTGTCTGTGAGTGGTAAAGAAAACAAAATTTTTCTCACATTCTTTTGAAAACACGATTGGTTAATTTTGTGTGTGTGTGCATTTTAATGATTAAAACCTGTAAGCAGCTAGTACTTGGGAAAATCATGTGATCAATTGGAATTAGAGCAATTTATGTAAAGTATTGAGTGCTTGATTTGGCTGTGCTACTTGTCAAGGCATAATCAGGAAACTTAGGTTTTAGGGCTCTCAAATATAACTCAGTCGAGCAGTTTTGCCAAACTAATCACAGGTGAGAAGGTGGGATGGTAACCTTTCCTTTATAGTCTTTCTCCTCTATTAGAGACTCGCTTGTGTGGAGGAGCAATACTCAGTCAAAACAGAATTCTTCTGATCTGCCTTACTCGGTGTCTCAGTCTGTGTAGCATTGCAATATTCTGGTTATTTAGCCTTGATGGGTTTTTGGTGCTGAACATGTAATTCAATATTGCAAGCACAGCCCTGCAGCAAAGCACAAACATGCCCTTGAAGATATGGCCAGATCATATCAAAAAGCAATATAAATTCATTTCTATTGAAGTGTCCTGTAATATATAATTATTACTTGAATATCTGAGATGTTAAGACTGATGTGTGAAAGTTGTGCAGTTTGGGTGTTGGTTGAGGAGAGTATTTGTAGGATCCCTGAAGAAGGCACAAGGACACAGGAGGTGGTGGCCTGGCTCCCAGGGTTTGGTCAGCACCACTGGGGCTTTCAGCTTCACTCTCCTTTGTGGAAGGGGCAAGAACCATTTCCTTCACAGCTTTTATCACTTGGTTTCTCTGCATAGAAAAAAATACTTAAAAGAACTGGAGTCTTTTTTTAAATGTTACTTAGTTATTTTAAAACCAGTAGGTGTTTCAGTGAGCCCCAGGTGAGCTGAGAGTTTTTGTAGCAAGATGGTCCTTTGCTTCTTTTTTCCAGCCTACTCTGAAGGTCCTTTATATAGTCTTGATAGGTGTAGTTAGAGAATTAGGCTTTCCAAAGAATTAAAAACCTGCCTGTAATGTCCTTTTACTGTTTTCCCCGATGTCCCATAATGTTTTGTTTTAAAATGCTAAATTCCGTGTCTAGGAAGTGATGTTGTTAGGTTTGATGTGCAATAGCCAAGGTGAAAAGACACTGCATAAAGGACCAAAAGTACCAGAACTGCTGCCAAAAGGTGCCAGCCACGGGCCTGTTGCTGTAATCCCGGTGCTTTCTGTGAATTAAATTCCTTCAACCACTGGAGGAGGAATGGAACATTTTGGGCAAATTGGAGCAGGGAAGGGTCCTTGGTACCAGGTCACAGTGTGGGCTTCAGGCTTGGCCATTGTCTCAGTGCCCATCTTGACACGTTCTGAGGAGCTGCCACATTAAACAATGGCATGTCTGTGCCTGGGAATGCTACAGAGGTGATGGTTTCTTTTTTGGGTAGGGGAGGGGAAGGAAAGGGCTGGGGGTTTCATCTCTAGGTGATTCCTTTGTGCCCCTAAGTGAGATTTCTCTTTAAACCTTTTTGAAATCCCCTTTAAGGAGAATCAGAATGTGTCTGGCCTATCAAGGATTTGAGTTTAAAAGTTTTTTTTTAAGACTTTTTACTACCAAATGCTGAATGTAACTGCCATAAACTTGAGGAAAAAAAAGCCACAAACATGATGCTGTTTCCTGTGGATGAGTCTGGTGAGCACAGTGTTGGTTTGTGTTGCTTGAAAATGTTCTTGTTCTGTTAAGCCAAATTCTCAGAGAGTTGGAGAACTCACTGCCGTGGGAATGGGGTGGGGGAAGGGGGTAGGAGAGGGGCAGAGCTGCTGGCAGCAGAGCTGTGTGTTGGCACGAGTGAGTCAGTGTGCCTGGAGCAGCAGAAGGCAGTGGGGACAGGGGAAGGATGCTCGGTCTGGGTACAGCTGGGGACGTGGTTGAGCCTGTACTACTTGAGAATTAACCTCTGCTGAGTTAGTAGTGTGTGTTCTGTACCTTTTAATTGTGCTTTACCTCTATTGAAAAGCTTTGTACTGCCTCTCCTCTTTGGTAAAGCCTTTCTAAATCTAAATTAACGAGCTTGCACAATCTTGTATACAGGAACCCCATCTTGTCTCTTAACGTGATTATTAATGTATTATTCTGTAAAAACTGATTAAAAGGAGAGCAGTTTAACTGCCTGGCTTTGACGTTTCTGCCTTGTTCCAGTGCCATCAGCAGTTGTGCTGGGATGGCCGTGCCAGGGTGAGCACTTCACTAACTCTGTGTGGTTTGCATTGGGCATTGCTGCTCTGCTCTGTCCTCACACCACACAGGGAGGGGACATTGGCAAAAAAGAACCAAAGTCCAGTAAAGGGGAGAGGAAACTCCGCTGCACTGGCTGCTTAACACAGAGCTCTTCAGTTTTTGTTTTGAATCTGCGGCTTGGCTGTTCTAGTAGCTTGAGAGGAAAGAAATAGCTCTGCCTGCAGCAGGGCTGTGCCCGTCCCTCTGCTGGCGGCTGTTTGGTGCCTTGTTGAGAATGGTGAACTCCAAAAGTATTATGTTTGGCATTTTTTCTTAGGAAACGTTCATTTTTCCTGCCGAGACAGGAGAATTTCTTCAGCGGCCGTGCACCCACCCGGCCCCGCTGCCGGGCCGGTGCCGCTGTGAGCTCAGTCCCCGCAGCGTTATTGACCTTGATTCTCTCTCATTTGCATCCAGCATTTTTCATCCTCTGGAATATGGTGTTTGGGGACCTTTCCATCATTAAGTGGATTTACAGCAATTTCCTTATGTGTTTTCTCCAAGGGATTCTGTTATGAGAGGCACATTAAATCTCCATTAATACCTCATTATCCGACTGATAAGATTACCATGATAATGAGGCAGAAATTCTAATTGTTTCACTTCTTATTGTGCCTTTCATTAAATCATATACCTGGAAGTTGCTGTCAGAGTGGGGATCTCCAGCCTGCAGAGCTTGGGAGGTGACCTGCTCCTGTGCATCCTGGTTCTGTCCCATAGTACTCGAGGGATGCTGGGGTGTGCTGCCCTTTTCCCTGGGCTCCTGTGCCTCCTGCCACGGCCTCTCCTCCATGGCCATGCTACCAGAAGGGCTTCCAGTGGCCCCAGGGCCCTTGGTAACCTGCACTGGGACATGGATTTGGACAGACTTGTGTTCCACGCGGCCCCATGAGCTGCCTGCTCCTGAGGGTGGTTAAGCACAGGGGTGTGCAGCCTCTGTCGGAGCTGTTACAGCCCATCAGGTCAATGATCCATGAACTAAAAAGTCTCTAAGAAAGAGCAATTATTGTCTATCATGTGTCAAAGGCGCCCGTATTGACCCCGAGAGATGGAGCCATTATGGCCCGTTGAGGCAGCGATCCATGAACGTTCCTGGGAGCCGAGCTCGGACACACCACGAGGTGAGGGGGCAGGGAGGGCCGGGGGCAGCGCTGGGGATGCTGCGGGGCAGCCTGGAGCCAGGCTGAGGTGGGGAAAGGCTCTGCTGGGCCCCAGGGGTGTCCCCAGCTCCTGCTGTCCTGGTGCCTGCGCAGGGATTCCTGTGGCAGCAGGACAGCCATCCTCACCAGGGAACACAGAGCCCTGCTGGGCATGGCTGCGGCAGCCCAGCCCGGCCCCGGCCCGGCCCTGCCCCGGCCCTGCCCCAGCCCTGCCCCAGCCCTGCCCCAGCCCTGCCCCAGCCCGGCCCTGCCCCAGCCCGGCCCCAGCCCCGGCCCGGTCCCAGCCCTGCCCCAGCCCAGCCCGGCCCCAGCCCGGCCCCAGCCCAGCCCGGCCCCAGCCCGGCCCCAGCCCAGCCCTGCCCCAGCCCGGCCCCGGCCCCAGCCCTGCCCCAGCCCGGCCCTGCCCCAGCCCGGCCCTGCCCCAGCCCGGCCCCGGCCCCAGCCCGGCCCCAGCCCAGCCCGGCCCCAGCCCGGCCCCAGCCCGGCCCTGCCCCAGCCCGGCCCCAGCCCGGCCCTGCCCCAGCCCGGCCCCAGCCCCGCTCACGGGGCACAGCAGCGCGGGGGTGGCACCGCTTGTCCCTGCCGGGGTCCCCAGCCCCGGGCCGGCTCTGGGGAGAGCGGCCGGGGGGCTGCGGCTCCTCCTGCGCGGGGGAGGAGATGTCTCCATAGAAACCGGCGCGTTCCGAGGAGCGGAGACAAAGCCCGAGCGGGAGCGGCAGCCCCGGCGCTGCCAGCCCGGGCCGTGCCCTGCCCGCGGGGACACGGCGGTGGCACAGCGTGCCCTGCCCGTGTGCCGGTGCCGCCCGTGTGCCGGGGTGGCTTTTGGCTTCTGGCACCGGCTGCGCGGCGGCACCTGGGCCGGGCAGCTGCGGGAGCGGGGCACTGCCCGGCGCTGCCAGCCCCGCACCGAGCCAGCAGCGTCGCTGGGCTGGGGTTAATCAACATTCATTCATGTTTCCAAGTGTAAATTGAGCATTTGTTTAATTATGTGTAAGCAGCAATACATTCTGGCCATTATCTAAATCACTATTTTATTTCCTGGATGTGGTTTCATAATGCTGGGTTTGTGCTCCAGCCTCTGCATCATTAACAGAGAAGAGTTAATGAATATAAAAGCGTAAAGGCTAATTACACTTTAATTTACAATCATGGTCTCATTTTGGGACCACATGAAATCTGTTTTGAAAACAATTAAAACAAGAAAAAAGCCCAGTGAAGGTCTGGTGAGAGGAAGGGTTTTGGCACAGAGCGGTGCCGGTGGTCACCAGGCCCGAGGAGCTGCGGCCGCTCGGGGCTGGCGGGGCCGGGGCTGCCCAGGACGGGTCCCTCCTCTCCCCTTGGCCCCATGGGGTGATGACCCGGGCTGGCAGTGGGACCCCGGGGCCCGTGCTGCTCCGGGATGGTGCTGAGGGATGTAAGTTGGAGCCTGAGAGGAGCACAGTTCACTGGAAGGAGACAAAGATTTATTGGGCTGCAGATGTTGAAAGCAAAATTCAGCGATAGTGCTGACTCCAGCGCTTTGCAGCATTTCCCATTCCTGGGGCTCTGTTCTGTGCCTCCCTGCAGGTGCCTGGGCCCTGGAGGGACGGCGGCTCAGATGAAGCTGTGGCAGGAGTGGTGCCGGTGAGGGGGCCAGGCTCTGTCTCTGCCCTGCTGTCTGTGGGAGGATCGTGCTGGGCAGAGGGGATTTTGTCGCCCTGGGTGCTGGGTGTCAGCTGGGTGTCAGGGCAGCTCCCTGCAGGAGCCCCTGGCTCTGCTGCCATCCTCCCTGGCAGAGGCCACGGATGTCCCAGAGTGTCGGGGCACTGTCACAGCTGATGTCCAGGCCCAGGGTGGGAACTGTCCCCATTGGCACGGGATGGCCTTTCTGGATGGGGCTGTGGGTTGCAGATGGGATTCTGGGGCCGAGGTGTAGGCTGGGAGGAGAACAAGGTCCTGGGGAGCAGAACTGGAGCCTGTACCCCCGTGCTTTGCAGTGGGTGAATACCTGCTTGTATTTACTCTGATTCCCTCAGCAATGGGATAAAAGCCGAGTGCTGGGACCAGGAGGGAGCAGTGGCCTTGGTGCCAGAGGCTCCTTCCCTTCTCTGGGCTAGCTGCCTGCAGCCAGCAGAGGAAATAAATCTCCCTGAGAAAACCACTTTTCTCACACAATTCCCATCCAACAGGGCATCGTGGCATCACTCACTTCTTGTTTTCTTCAGCTGATGATCTTTCACTGGGCCAGTTGAGCCCTGTAGCAGCACGATGCCTTTGCCAGCTGCCACGGGTACTCAGAGCTGGGGGCTCATGGACCTGGGCACTGAGGGCAGTGATGCCCATCCCTGACAGGGCCCAGCTCGGGCAGGGCTGGGATTGTGTCCCCCAGGCCGGTGCCCTGAGCTGATGCCCTGCAGAAGCACTGGAGTCCCCGTGATTTTACTCACCGCCCATGGTGGGGGACAGGAGGTGTCCTTCTACTGCCAGGTATCTCTGCAGGTGGCTCAGGGACTCCTGCTCAGTGGGATTTACAGGAGCCAGGGGCTCTGTGGGTGCCTCTGCTGCTGGTGGATGTGCTGAGCTGGGACAGGGGAGGCTCCTTCCACAGCAGGCACTGTGCCAGGCCTGGCTGGAAGGTGGCCCTGGGACTCTGCTGTCCCCTGGCCCCTGTGGGCTCCTTGTGCCCCGTGGGGGGAGCCCATCCCTGGCCAGGGCTAATGTAGGAGCTGTGCCATCGCCAGGCTCAGACAGGTTTGTCACTTGTCACTGCGAGGTGGGGCCGTGTCACTAATGAACACATCCAGGGGCTGAGTGCCTGCGGCTGCTAATTGGAAGTGCTCACAATTGGGAATTCTTCTGGGTCAGGCACCGTACCTGCACTAACAGGGATTTGACTTCCAGAAGCCCCTGGCTGCCGAGGGCAGCAGGGGAGGAGCAGCTGCAGTGCCCTGCCCAGGCCGGGAGCAGCCAGGGCCACCGCAGGGTCAGACCTTCATCGCCTCCGCCGCCCTGAGGGATGTGGTACCCAGCCCGCGGCTGAGCGGGATGCCAGGGCTGCCGGAGCTCCAGGTACCTGGGGGTGCTGCCTCTGATGTGCTGCGTCTCATGAGGGCTCAAGGCTCACTCAGGACCCTTTGCAGTGGCACTGGTGGTCACAGGGCTCAGCTCCCCTTGGCAGCAGCGTGGGGCCCTGCTTGTGCAGGGCATCATCAGCTCCCCTCAGCTCCCCCTTGGCAGCGTTCCCACCTTCCCACTATTCCTTGTCATCCCAAATCCTATCAGCACTGATTTGATATTTACCTCCAAATCATGGATGAACATGTTGAACATCATCATCCGATGATGATTCCCCATTGACAACCACTTTTTGAGACCTGTCAGTCAGCCAATTCTTAATCTTTCTAATGTGAGCTCTATTGATATTATATACAGCTAATTTTTTAATCAAAACGTCATGTGCTATTAAATCAAATGCCGAACAGAAGCCAAAGCACACTGCTGCTCCTCGGTTATCTTTATTAGGTAAACTTTTAAATTCAAGGAATGAAACCAAATTTTTTGGCCAGCCCAGCTTCCCATCGGCTGTGGTTCCAGCCCCTCGGCTCTTGACCGGGGTGGGCACGGATGGGGGTGAGCGGCTGGAGCGGGCAGCGTGCCCGGCGAGGCTGGCATGGGGCTGGACGTGCCAGGGCAGGGCTGGCTGCCGGGTAACTTCACAGTTAAAGCCTTGGTGGGGAAATGGGAATTTCCCTCCTGTGCTGGATGCCGCCTCTGACCTGGAAATGCCGGGCTGGGAGCGGGGGCAGGCGTGCAAATGCGAGGTGACAGCGCAAGACGCGCCGATATGGTGCCCAGCTGTCCGGCCGCCACCGGGCCGGGCGGGCGGCGCCTTTTGGGGCAGGGGAGGAGGAGGAGGAGGAGGAGGAGGAGGGCAGGCTCGGGCGGTACGTGCGGGCAGGCACACGCTGCCATGCCAGCTCGCCGGGATGGCACCGGCCCGCGGGCCCCGCCGCACGGCCCTGGGGGTGCTCGGGGGCACTTTGGGCGCCTCTGCCACCGTGGCTGAGCTTTGGGGACCCCTGCCCAGAGCAGGTGAGCCAGGCTGCTGGCAAACCCCTTGCCTGGAGAGCCACAGCTTCTGCCCTGGTCCATCCAGCGACTTGCCCAGCTCTGCTCCCTCCAGCACAACCAACCCTTTGTAAATCTAAATTAATAAGGTTGCATGACTACAGACACAGGAACATGGGCTGTGTCTTGTCTTTGTCGATCAATGCTTTCTATCATCCCATAAAGCTGATTAAAAAGCAGAGCGGTTCATCTCACCAGGTTCCGCATCCCAACATTATAAATTTGATATTCCAGTTAATGATTGTCAGCGCTGGCGGAGGACATGGAAGCTGGTCAGTATTTGCGGTTTATAATTAATATGGGAGCTTGGGTTTATATATAATATCAGAGCATTGCTGCAGAGGGCACCAAGGAGGAATGTGGGATGGTTAGGAATTTATTATCCCTGAAATGTCAAAGAGCAAGAGTAAGGCAGTTTGTGTGTCCAGCACTGCCCATGCCAGAGGGACACGGAGTGACCAGTGTGACCTGTCACGGTCACCAGCTCCACACCTGTGTCCCCAGTGCTGCTGGCAGGGTCAGCCGAGGGGTCAGCTCCATCCCAGCCCTTCCCTGTGTCCGCAGGGAAGCTGCATGAGCAGATGTCTGTGCCCCAGCTCTGGACACAGGGATGTTGGCCCCTCAGGCTAGACGGTGACCTGGTTGCCGATGCCAGCTGCTCGGAGAGCCCAAGGATGGATGAAGCTGTGCCTCCCGTGTGGCAGCCCTGCCGGGGGTCGCAGCCCCTCGGTGGCTGCAGGCAGGGCAGCGGCGCTGGTCCTTGCCCGTGTGGCACGGGGCAGAAAATGCCACCAGTGCATCCCACAGTCACTGCCTGGGCCTGCACAGGGAATCTGGGGACTTTCTCCAGGAACAAGAAACTCGACCCCAAAGGAATGCCCCGAGCTGTTTCTCCGGGGTAAAACCCCATAACCTGAGCAGGTCCCCAGGGTCAGACAGCCTCATGTCCTGGATCGGTGAAGTGCAAGGGACGGCTGAGGGGGTCACTGGCCCTCCGGACAGGAGCAGGGACAGGAACAAGGACAGGGAAGGGG